CAGTAATCTTAGCTGCTATTTCTAACGGCAGCAGATACTGCATCCTCAGACAAAATCTGCTTTTCAAGTGATGATGGCCCTTTTTATAATAAATGCTGCCAAGTCCCAGAAGTGATAGCTCACAAACAATCAGCGAGAGGACAACGGGAATGCTCTTTGAGATGCTGTGCAGAATAGATCATCCACTGTACAGCAACAAATCAAATTTAGGGAGAAAGAATTTGAAAACAAATTACCAGCAAGATATTTCAAGCTGACAGCAATTTGGAGCAACTTAGGTCTGTCTGGTAAGAACTGTATTCCTTTTATTTCCCTGTCAATAGCAGCTACCTTATAAGATTGGTTTCTCGTTGATAATTCTCTTGTCTGGAACAGAAACTCCTGAGTACACTTAAGTTGATAACTCTCTCTTTGATCACATTTCGGTAGCAATGCTTTTCACCTTGACAGCAGGATTTCTCCCTTCGGATGAAGTTTCCATGCCTAAAAACCCACGTGGCTGTGGGACTTCCAGCCTCGGGGTCTTCTGGTGCGGTGCAGGCGGTGTGGTCCTGGGCTTGGACTCAGGGCTGGGAATGGCAGGGATATGAGCTTGGGCTGGGAACTGCAGGGATATGACCACCCACTTGCCCTGCCTCAGTTTCCCTGAAATACATGCTACAACATTATAAAAGCTGCTCGTATGTATGTCTTGATGGGAGAGGGATAATTAATACCTGCTGGTAATACCTTCCCCTCGGAAATGCTGAAACATGAAGGATTATGGGTGCTCTTCCTTCAGCCTGCAGCGTGAGAGGGGAGGACATCACTTCCTTGGGTGCCTGGAGGAGCCATGTGGAGCTTTGCAGGGTGAGCTAGCAGGAGCAGAAAGGGAAGGGAATGAATATCAGATATTCATTCATATTATTGCTGGATGGATGGACGCACCCAAAGGGTGGCAGTCAACGGCTCAATGTCCAGGTGGTGGCCAGTAACGAGTGGTGTTCCGCAGGGGTCGGTATTGGGACCAGTACTATTGAACATCTTTGTTGGAGACATGGACAGTGGGATAGAGTGCACCCTCAGCAAGTTTGCTGATGGCACCAAGCTCGGTGGCGCAGTTGACACGCTGGAGGGAAGGGATGCCATCCAGAGGGACCTGGACAGGCTGGAGAGGTTGGCTCGTGCAAACTGCATGAGGTTCAACCAAGCCAAGTGCAGGGTCCTGCACCTGGGACGTGGCAACCCCAGGCACAAATCCAGGTCGGGGGGAGAATGGCTGGAGAGCAGCCCTGAGGAGAAGGACTTGGGAGTGCTTATGGACGAGAAGCTCACCATGAGCCGGCAGTGCGCGCTGGCAGCCCAGAGAGCCAACCGTGTCCTGGGCTGCATCAGGAGAAGTGTGGCCAGCAGGTCTCGGGGGGTGATTCTGCCCCTCTGCTCTGCACTCGTGAGACCCCACCTGGAGCTCTGTGTCCAGCTTTGGAGTCCTCAACACAGAAAGGACATGGACCATCTGGAACAGGTGCCACGGAGGGTCACGAAGATGATCAGAGGGATGGAGCACCTCTGCTATGAAGACAGGCTGAGGGAGCTGGGATTGTTCAGCCTGGAGAAGAGAAGGCTCTGGGGAGACCTTATAGTGGCCTTTCAATACCTGAAGGGTGCCTGTAGAAGAGCTGGAGAAGGACTCTTTGCCAGGAAGGGTAATGATAGACAAGGGGAAATGGTTTTAAATTGGAAGAAAAAAGATTCAGATTAGATCTCAGGAAGAAAATTTTTACTATGAGGGTGGTGAGACACTGGAACAGGTTGCCCAGGGGAGCTGTGGCTGCCCCATCCCTGGAGGGGTTCAAGGCCAGGCTGGATGGGGCCTTGAGCAACCTGCTCTAGTGGGAGGTGTCCCTGCCCAGGGCAGGGGGGTTGGAACTCGATGATCTTTGAGGTCCCTTCCAACCCAAACCATTCTATGATTCTATGATATGGTGCAACCACAGGCTGACTGTCTGCTCACAGCCCAGCTCTGGCTCTGGGTTAACATCACCATGGAGCCAAAGTGCAGCGTGGCCAAGAGAGATGCTTGGGTGGAGGTGGAAGTGGGGAGCAATCCCACTGGGCACAGGTGGGATGTGCATTTCTCCAGCACCCCTGTTGCCATCGCACTGAGCGCTCGCCTCACGCTGGATGCGGTGCTGGACGTGTTAATTATGGAGGCAGGTCATTAATGTCGGTCAGCAAGCACAGAGAGGATGCAGCAGGGAGGAATGTGTTGGCAGTAGAAGGGAATGCAGCAGTGCTGACATGCCCGGAGCAGGAAAGACATAAAAAGAGTGTGCTAGTCTGTAATTTGCCTGCAATTTCTCCTTGGGAAGCAATGAAAGTTTACGACTAGTCGAGGCAATGCCCCTGTATCTCTTCCAGAAAGTGGCAGATAAAAATAGGTTGGAATTGCACTGAGGAAAAGAGAATTTTGACATTCCTTTAAAGACACTTTGCGGCCAAGTGCTCCCAGCCTATTTTGGCCAAGTACTCAGTAAGAGGGATGCTTAGCTGTGGCTGGCAGTCGGTTTGGTTGCCATTGGTTAAGACAAGCCAGGCCCTGCTCATCGGCAGAAATACGTCTCTGGTGAGGGAAATCAGCCGAGCAGAGCGATTCGACTAGATTAATCTTTTGAAATAGAAATGAAGGGATTTGTGTGGGTTTAGCAAAGCCCTAGTTCCCCTCGAGGGTCATGTCAGCCTTGGGACGGGAGGACTGTTTCCACTTTGGTTTCCCAATTGCCCCCCGTTGGTGCTTTGGGACAGCTTTTGCCTTGCTGGAGCCTCATGTGACACTGCTGAGCTTCCAGGGAGGGGGGAAGGGAGTTTGGTGCTCCAGGTGCAGGGTCAGGTGCTGCCAGAATGGGATTTGTTTCCTCCTCCAGCTTCTGCTTTGTGTCTAGCATGTGGGAATAACTTACTCATTAGGAGGGAGGAAAAGCTTTGATCCAATGATGGTTTAAATTTGTAGCTTAAGTTGTGGTCCTTTAACACCCTAAATTAAAATCACCCAGTACTTGTTTTGCACGGCATCCCCCCTGGATAAAGAAAGCAATCTACGATGCCTATTTATTCAAGCGGTGCCTTAGAAACTAAAACCTTATTGTCTGTTCTCCATGGATATGAAATACTCAGTGATGTAACAGAGGCTCCATTTAAAATTGCGAATTTCTTTCCCCAGTGCCCTTGGCTAAGCTTTCCTTCCCTGCACCGTCCCACCTCGCTGGGAACCACATTTCAATGGTGCTCTACGCCCTTGGTCTTCACAGCATTTTAGGATCTTTCCAGATGGAAAGTGCCATAGAAATGTAAAACCTTATTAATTAAAGGCTGAAATAGATGCAGTGTGTGGAGGTCAGTGACTCATGCAGTAGGATTCTCAGGCTTCTGCTATGCATTGCCTCAGGGCGCTTTTTTGAATGTTCCCTTCTCTGGGGCTATGACAGTTTATTACACAAAGGCCGTGTGAACCGGAGGTGAATGCAAACGACTCGGGCTGGGCTGTTCCCTAGTCGGCAAAGCAGCAACCAGTGAACCCAGTTCATCTGAGCTTTTTGGGACAGCATAATTTCTCCTTATTACAGTTTCTGCCCTTTTTGTTCAGTGAGTGTGCGTGGGGAGACGCTGCTGGGTGCCCACAGCACTTGTGGTCACATTGGTGTTATGGATCGGTTCCTCTCTCCAGGGGCACTCAGTGGTGGAGGAAGAGATGGTGTTTCCTTTAGGATCCAGTGATTTTCCTGAGCATGAACGAGGACGTGTTCCTAGCAGACAGTTTTCCTTGGAGAGGGTGGGCAGTGACGGTGAGCACAGCAGCTGTAAGCCCTGGAGCAGCAAGCACGGGCGGCTGTAGCCCCAGCCCTGGCAAATCCCTTCTCCTCCTGACTGAGGGTCCTCTAATCAAGGTGGATATTTTGGGTATTCTGCTGTGATGTACAGCTCAGGGGGTGCAGAGCAGTCCCACCCAAAGCACTATCTAGGAGCGTTTCTGCCCTGCTGACTGCAGTCCTGAGACATGCACAGCCCCAGGACACTGGGATTTGCTTCCTGGCTGGGAGGAGGATTCCTAACCAGATCCTGGGAGACCATCTTAATTCTTGATGTATTCAGATACCTGAGGATGAGTAGTGATGCCTCTCAGCTGCACAGGAATGCTGAGGCCAGTACTGGGGACCCCCCAGGACTTGATGCCATAGCACGCACGAGATGACGTTTGTCCCAGACCCTCAATTTTGTCCCTTTGCTGGCTTTATCGGAGCCACCAGTCCTCAGGGACTGCTGGGTTTTGGGGTAACCCCCATAGTGAAGCTCTCCCGGGTGCAAGGTCCTTGCCCTGCCCCTGGCCCCCTCGCTGGCAGAGCAGGGACGGGCACCTCTGCAGAGGCAGGAGAGGTGACAAGGCTGTAACTGCTCCTCTGCAGTCAGCGCAGCTGGTGGCACAGCACGGCTGCCCTGGGGCTGTCCTCACTGCACAGCGTGACATTGGCTTGCAGAGAGCCTCAACCTTCTGGTATTTGGACCCTGAGTTTCTTTTACCATATTTTCAGCCTTTCCTCTTTCTATTGGTTGACTGCTGCCCATTCAGCCTCTGCTGCAGCAACTTCTGCCTGTCGTTACACTGCTCAGCATCTTTTCCCCTTCCCTCACTCCTTTTATTTCCTTCCCTCCCTCATTCCCTCTTAAGTCCCCCATTACCACCTCCCGCCCCAGCAGTCCTATCTCTGCACCCCTCACTCATCTTTCAGCACTCACTCCTCACAAATAAACTAAACCACTCTTCTTTTTCAAAAAAACCACGAAGATCAAACATGCATTTTGAAACGGGCACGAACGGGCGCACAGAGCAAGTATTTCATTTCGGCAATGTTGTCACAGAAATAGAAAATCCAGTTCCAACGAAGCATGTAATTTAGACCCATTGTATGCTGGGCCTGGCAGACAACGTCGTTACACCGGGTGCCACGCACACCAGCCCCCCCTTGGCACCCAAGCCTACGCCGGGATTTCACAGTGACAGGGCAGTTTTCCTGCTGTGCCTACACCCACACGGGTGTCTTCGGGTGGCACTGGGAAGGGACTGCCCTTGTGCACACATCTGAGTCATGTGGACCTGCTGCCAGCGGCACGCAATCACCAGCCACGTCCTGCTCCTACCTGCTACACCTCAAAGTGCACCAACAGAGGCGAGACTGAAAGCGTTTGTTTATTTTATGCTCTTAACATCCCACCCGGAGTATCGCTGCGGCGGCCTCTCCTCCTCGCCTGTCCTCTCCCTTGGCTTACGTTTTTCACCTAGTGAAAAGGGGTGAGAGAAACATTTTAAAAAAAAAATAAAACCAGGAAAATGGGATTACAAAACCACAAACGCCGTTAAAAGGGAGATTTGGGGTCAAGCAGAAAACTTCTAACTCATTTCAGAAAATGGATTAGATTTCAAGCTGCCGGCACAGCCTGATGCTGTCTTAATGACATTTACTGGATGGGAAGTGTTAGCTATTGTTCCTGGGTGCCTGTCTAAACAACACCCTGCATTTTAGTCTCGTTGACAGAGCCTGCCACCATGTTCCAGGGAGAGCTGTTAATTAAGAGACAAAGCCCAATCTCAACCTAGCTGGCTCTATTTTTACATAATTTTATTTTTTGTTTGCTGAGTCTTTTAACTCGCTCCACAAACCAGCAGAGCTGCCAGCTGATCTCCTACTTTTTCCTTCTCTTTTCAGCAGCACGGTGCAGAACGTGTGATTCTCCACAACTCCAGGCCTCCTACCTTTGAGTTTGTAGTTTTAAAAGAGATTTTTTTTTTTAAACCTGACATTTTGTCCTGAAAGGATGTGAGACGTGCAGAACCGCCGAATGTGGAAGCCACCACAGGAGGCCAAGACATGATATTAAAAGGAGTAATGAAAGAAAGCAAGCTATTGAAGTGTAAACTCAATTTTACTGAGAGTATGCTACAGATCAGAAATGAGTAGTTTGAATCCCTGGTGCAACTGACACCAAAATATTAATGGTTTGGTAGAAGCAGGAAATACAAAGAGCTTAAAAAATCTGTTTGCTCTGTGTTTCCAGAGGAGAGCCTGTTTGTTAAGGCCCTGAAGACCCTATATTATTTTAATAACATGTATCTCAGTCAGTATCATAATTACAGATCTCTCTTTTTTTCGATTAACTTCACTCACCGACAAGGTTGGACTCTTGATCCCTATCTTCTTTCTGGGCTGTAAAACAACGGTACTCCGTTTATTTCCTTGTCTTGGATCCCTTTCTTGGATTAAACCTGCAGGAAGGAAAAATGCAATCTAAATCGCTGCAGGACACCGTCTGTCTTCCTGCAGGAAAAGCCTGTAGGAGCATGGCAAAAATAGGAAACGTGGGTTTCCTAATGCCGTTGAACCAGGAACCACAGGAAAGTCACAGTCCTGAACTGTGGTGTGTCGTCACCGTGACACTGACCTGGGGGCTGCCCCCCTTCGGAATCCGCACAGGCTGCCCTTCTCCCTCGGCTAAATTATGTCCCTTGGATGAACCTACCTCCCTGGTAGGTTGCCTAATCTCTCTATATTTTGCTTAATATTGTCCTGGTCTGAGGATGGAGTAAGTAGATTCAGGTATCTCAGAACTGCTGGCAAATGAGTCATGAAATGTATTAAATTTATTCAATTGTTTGTACAATCCAATGCAAGCGTAAGTTCTGCAGAGATATTTATATTAAAGACCAGCTCAAAACACACCAGAAAACACCCCAGAGTAATTTGTCGTGGGATAAAAATGGTCACTCTCACACAAGAGGCTCGCTCAGGCTTCATAAAGAAACCTTTGAAGCAAATTACCTCTTAAAGACAGCTCTCCCCATCTGCAAACCTGCCTCTCTGGGTTGAGGTTGGGTCCCTAAAACCTCCCTCTCTTCTGAGAGGAGCTCTGGTGGCCCTGCTTGTACCTCAGGGATTTCCCGTGTCCCTTCTTCCCTGTACTCTTGTTATTCAGAGAATCATAGAATTGTATGATTTTATATTAGGTGATAAAAGGTTGGAAGGGACCTCAAGATTCATCTGATCCAAGCTTTCTTGGCAAAAGCAGGGTCTAGCCAAGATGGCACAGTGCCCTGTCCAGCTGGGTCTTAAAAGTGCCCAATGTTGGGGAATCCACCACTTCCCTGGGGAGATTATTCCAATGGCTGACTTTTCTCATTGGGAAAAATGTCCCTCTTGTGTCCAGTCGGAATCTCCCCAAGAGTAACTTGTACCCATTACCCCTCATATTCTCCATGTGACTCCATGTAAAAAGGAGATCTCCATCTCCTCTGTTGCCACCCTTTAAATACTAGAACATGGTGATAAGGTGTCCCCAAAGCCTTCTTTTCTCAAGGCTCAATGAACCCAGCTCTCTCAGCCTTTTCTCCTATGTCAGACTTCCCAGTCCTTGGATCATCTTGGTGGTCCTTCTCTGGACCCTCTCCAGCTCATCCACATCTTTTTTGCACAGCGGGGACCAAAACTGAACACAGGATTCCAGGTGTGGTCCGAGAAGCACTGAGTGGAGTGGGATAATGACTTCTTTGTCTCTGCTGGTGATGCCCAGGTTGATGTAACCCAGCTTTCATTGCCCCAGTAGCACGCTGTTCACCACACTGTTCACTCATATGGAGCTTGTTCTCCACTAGGACCCCCAGGCCTCTTTCCACACAGCTTCTCTCCCACCAAGTAGATCCCAGCCTGTGCTGCACTCCTGGATTATGTTTTTGCAGGTGCAAGACCTTACACTTGTCCTTGTAGAACCGCATAAGGCTCTTGTTAACCCACTCTTCCAGCCTATCCAGGTCTTTCTGCAGGGTGGCTCTCCTTTCTGAAGTGTCCACTAGAGATATTTGCATGAAAATGAGACTTCGTGAAAGCAATAGCTTTCAAGAAGGTCAATATACTTTAGGTTTTCAAAACAGCACACCAGTTTACAAAACCCAAGAGGAACCGAGCTGCGTTTTTTCCTCCATCTCCTTCAAGGTCCAGCATCTGTCACCCTCTACTTCTCCACAGAGGTTTTGCATATTGTGCTACCTCAGGTGATCAAATCCAGGTTACAGAATCATAGAATCATGGAATCATCTAGGTTGGAAGGGACATTTAAGATCATCAAGTCCAACAATTAACTTGACACTGCCAAGTTACCCCTAACCCATGTCCTTCAGCACCACGTCTGCCCAGCTTTTAAATACCTCCAGGGATGATGATTCAACCACTTCCCTGGGCAGCCTGTTCCAATGTTTGATGATTTGGATCTAGATAGATTGGATCACTGGGCCAATGCCAATGGCATGAGTTTCAACAAGGGCAAGTGCAAGGTCCTGCACTTGGGCCACAATAACCCCCTGCAGCGCTACAGGCTCGGGGAAGTGTGGCTGGAGCTGCCTGGAGGAAAGAGACCTGGGGGTTCTAGTTGACAAACGGCTGAAGAGAGCCCTGTTGGAGTGGGGCCAGAGGAGGCCCTGAAGATGCTGGGAGGGCTGGAGCCCCTCTGCTGGGAGGACAGGCTGAGAGAGTTGGGAGGGTTCAGCCTGGAGAAGGCTCCAGAGACACCTTATTGTGGCCTTTCAGTACTTGAAGGGGGCTTATAAGAAAGAGGTTGATGTAACCCAGCTTTCATTGCCCCAGTAGCACGCTGTTCACCACACTGTTCACTCATATGGAGCTTGTTCTCCACTAGGACCCCCAGGCCTCTTTCCACACAGCTTCTCTCCCACCAAGTAGATCCCAGCCTGTGCTGCACTCCTGGATTTGATGAAGTTTCTAATACCCATCCTAAATCTGCCCTGGTGCAACTTGAGGCTATTTCCTCTTGGCAGGTGCAAGACCTTACACTTGTCCTTGTAGAACCGCATAAGGCTCTTGTTAACCCACTCTTCCAGCCTATCCTGGTCTTTCTGCAGGGTGGCTCTCCTTTCTGAAGTGTCATCATAGAATCCCAGCTACACCCTCCTTCCAGGGAGCTGCAGAGAGCGAGAAGGTCTCCCCTCAGCCTCCTTTTCTCCAGGCTGAACACCCCCAGCTCCCTCAGCCTCTACCCACAGGACTTGTGCTCCAGCCCCTCACCAGCTCCATGGTACTTCTCTGGACACACTCCCCAACCTCACGATTCCTAACATTTTTTGATTCTACCCCAAAAAACCCCTCAGGTCCCTCTCCGCGGCCTGGGGCCGAG